TAGCCATTGCTTATAACATCAGTACGTTATTTTGCCTTGTCATCTAAATCGAGAAGATGCGGCATAGACTTTTGAAATGAGCCTTACGGCTTTTGCAGCTAAGTGACGTCTGACCGAGTTTCGGAAATTCCCACTTTCAAAATGAGGCCAAAATAAAAACATTAAAAACAAAACAACAACAAAAAAAGACACCTTAAAAACTAAAAGGTTGCATTCACCTACGCTTCAAAACAGAGGCTTTTGGACTCTTGGAAATTATCTCTTGGTATCAGTAGCTCACGGTTCATGATACCAGATACGAGTAATCCTAAAAGGACAACCTATTCCTCATAAAAGTTGATTAATTATTGTGCCGGCATGTGGCATTTATATTTATCCAAGAATTAAAAAAAAAGGGAAAATCTCAATCAACATTTATTGTTGTCGAACCCATGACCTTAAGATTAGTTCCAAAATAAGAAAGATGCACGGAAGCTTACACTGTTCTTTAATAATCATCCGCAGACAAACAAGTTGCTTATTTACAGGTCAAGATTTCTTTGCAAATGAGTTGAATTTGTTCGGCAAGTTTACGAAAACTTTAGCAAGTCCATGCCGAGTCCAAAGCGCTGAAATGTATCATAAGTTGAATTGATTTGGTAATATGCCAATGTCCTGTTATGTGTCATTTTTTATAGGATTCAGTACCTAACTTTAACAGCTAACATTCATAGTGATTAGTGAGTCTATGTTAACTGTTATGTACTTACACGACGGTTGCACCCCACTCCAGTTACTAGAGGGTAAACACATCCTTGCTGCCGGACCAGTTAAGTGATATTCTGGTTCACAAACGAAGGACACAGATTCACCAATCCAGTATCTTGAGCAATGTTTGAGTCCATTTGATGGAGAGCCGGGTTCACCACAGTTAGTGAGGACTGAGATATAAAAAATTAATGATGAAAAAACAAGAAACCAACAAGAAATACCAACTAAGATACCAAAAACTAAAACAAATGACGAAAAGGAATGATTAAGAGTGAAAGGGTCATTTATCGCCTGCTTCAAGTCAAGTGACTCTGGGATCTACACATGTCCGTTTGAACAAACATCGAGTAAGGCATTTATAGTAAATAAAATTCAACATACCCAGATTTTTTTTAGACTCCGCTGTCATATTCTTGCCGTTATAAAATAGACATGTGTAGATCCCCCAATCACTTGGTTTGAAGCGATGAATGACCATTTCACTCTTTATCAGTCCATTTCCGTCATCCACAGTTTTTGAGAAAACACGTCGACCATCTTTGAACCACGTGACTTTAGGTAGAGGCGAGCCACCGGCTGAACAGTTTAATTGCACAGTATCACCAACATGCTGGACTTGAATTTCATTGGGAGGACTGGATACAATGTAAGGACTCACTTAAGAGACAGAGAAACAAAGTAATCAGTGCAATTCTAGCTTGGAATGTTTTTGGACACTGTTGTTTCACTTAAGGTTGTTTCACAGTTTGTTTGTTTTTTAACTCCATACTTACCAACAACATTAACGATGACCCATATCACTCTCATAACGTTTGCCATTTGGTTAATTCCCTGACAAACGTATAAGCCTGCATCTTCCTCTGTTGTGTTTTGAATCGTAAGTTGGTAACCGTTCATAAAATGTCTGTTGTTTGAAAGCTGCTTGCCTGATCTTGTCCATGTTATCACAGGGGAGGGATAACCAAAGATGTCACATTGGAGCACGGTGTCCCATGTCTTGTAAGCAGTTACGGAATGCTTAGGTTCGTTAATAAATTTTGCTGGCATTACCAATAGAATATTACAACACAAAATGTGAACGAAGTTCAAAATGCAAGAAAATGCAAGGTAGTACTACTATTCATGGTACCATGACATCCAATTAGTGTTCAGCAATATATAGATTAGCACCATGATCAAGCTTTGGCGAGACTATCGATTGAAGATTATAAGGCCAGCTATTTATTCGCAATTTTACGCTCGCCCTGGATGTTCACTGAACGATAAATTCAAGTAGTTTTGTTGCAAGGCGCGGGTGACCGATTGCTGTGCAGAGAACATTAAACTTGCGTTCTAACAGGAAAGTGCATTTTTTAACCAGCAAATAATGAGCAAAAAGTGGGATCTGGACTTTTAAAATGCAAAATGAACATTCTGGATAACTTCGAACCGATTGTTGTGCGGAGAACATTAAGCTCACATTATAGCAAGAAAGTGCATATTTTTTAAGCAGCAAATAATGAGTTAAAAGAATCTGGACCTTTTAAAATGCAAAGTCAATACTCTGCATAACTTCAAATAGTTACATTAGGAATTTAATGGAGGAAAAAATATGAAACTGAATGCCAACTATTGCGTTATAAAAACAGCAAGAGATTATAAATCTCTTGGACAGACCTTTTACGCTGACATTGACGGATAATTCTGCTCTGCCCATAAGATTTTCCGCTGAACAGGTGTATACACCGCGGTCCTGGAATTGAATTTTCTTTAATTTTAGACTTCTTTCCCCATAGCACTTCCTCTCCTTTTCTATCAGGTGTCCATTTTTGTACCACGTGATCACGGGTAATGGGAAGCCATTTGCTTTACAGGGTATTAGAATATTTTTAGTCTCTTTCACTGTTATGGTGGGGGAAGGTTTTGAGATGAAGTGTGGCAATCCTTGAAAAATAAAGTTACTATCGTTTTGAAAAAGTAAAACGCAGTGGAACATAAAGGCAGGTGAATCGAGTTAAATTAAAAAACAAAACAAAAACAAAAACAAAAACAACAACAATGAATGGATATTCACTGCACGACTTACCTAACTGACCTCCACCGACTTGGTTTGTTCTCTGTTGTGCTAATCTCCCTCGGGGCCCTGGGGGTCTTCTTATGCCGCGTTTTCCCTTGGGACCTGGTACACCTCGTGGTCCTTTTCTTCCCCTCCTACCACCTGATCTGGGAGGGCCCCGCGGACCAGTGCGTCCAGGTACACCGAGAGGACCTGGTGGGCCTTAAGGTCCTACAGGAGAAAAAAAAGAGAAATTAATTAAAAAGAAAAATATCAAATAACAAGAAAACATATTGTGAAAAAGAAACTAAAAAAAAAAAAAAAAACTTGCAAAGTCCATGTAAACAACTGAAAAAGCACTTCTTTGACGGCGTTTATTCTGATCTCTACAATAATTGTACTAGGTTTAGTTTCACAGCAACGTTTAGCTAAGTCGATCGATCACTGTACCCTTTTTCTAACTAAACTGCCGAAATCAGTGGTATTGTGTGCAGAGAAGTGACGTTTTTTGTTCTCGTGTTGCACCACATGACATCCTCTTTTGGTCTCGTTTCTTCCAGCGCTTTAGAAAGAGCGAGGGAGATTAGTTACCCTGGTTGTCTTAATGTTTCTTTACACAGTTTCATAAAACCAAAAGACTTTGATCTTTAGCGAAAACATATAATATTGTTCCATGCTTCTGATCATGCAAATGTTAGCGATCTAACCACTGTTTTTAGACTGAGCTATTTCATGCTCATCCGATGTATTTAGTTGGCTACAATTAGGTTGCTTAGCAATGGTCGTCGAATAACACGTACTAGATAACCTCTTACCCTTTACACAAATAGCATTTCCCTGAATTCTTTCCACGGTTGCGTTCTAGTGAGGGTAGAAAGAAAGGCAAAGATATAATTTGTCTAATTGATCAATAACCTACCTTTCTGATTTAATGTGCGGAGCGAAACCCAATAGAATAATGACACTAAAGGTGACCCGTGTTATTAACTTTCCTACTCGCTTCAGTTTGTGTGTTTATTTCCGTTCTACTAAATCGTGAAAATGAGTAAGTTAGGCAGATTGTATGACGAAGTTTATTTGATATTGTGAAATATTTATGCACTCTTTAAAGACAAGAGGGGTTAATTACTTCATACCTAAAGTGATGTTAAAGTAAAATAAGCAAATACGCTTGTAGTGCGTGATATGTCACACACTCCAGTTTACAATTTGGTGTACCAGCATGAAAGGATGTTGTAAGGAGAACGAGTCAGCTTCCGTAAAGTGAAGCACGAAAGCTTTGCGTGACTTAAACTATACGGTTTACAATGTTTTCGTGTTCTCGAGAAACAAATTTTGGCGCTAAAAGATTGCTAAAATTTCTGTTAGGAACATCTCTTTTTCTCGTAAGGGAAAGTAATAGCCAAGCTATCGTTAAGCAGCAAATAATACGCAAAGAAAGAAATAACATTGAATTAAAGAAAACCTTCTTACTTGTATTTCAATTTTATTTATCACGAACTTATAATTTAATGCTAAAGTTTTTGAAAGCGTAATTATTTACAGCCACATTACATTTCCTAGTTAGAACCCTTTACCAAGACACTAAATTATGTTTTCCCACTGAACATTGTTGAGGCCAGAGACTACGTTCAGCTGTAACTGCATTGACGATTTGTTAAAACATTTAGCTTTTACGACCGAACTTTGCGCAAAGTTTACTGATTCTTCCCACTGCAATCAACTTCCCTTCAGCAAATTGCGTCAGCTTTGAAAACATGACACGCCACATGGTACTCCACCAAAACACACTCCTCTGATACGTTGTTGGAGGCTGTCAAAGTTGTTTACAATAAGCCAATAAACTGGCGAGAGGCATGCCATTATAATCACGACAAGATCACGCCTGCGTCAAGATAATGAATCAAGAGCTTAAGAGAATACCCTTTTGATCACAAAATAAACCTGGTCGCTGGAACGTTGTATCCTTTTCCCACCACTTAGCCAATTAAATTTTACTTATGATATATATTAAGGAGTAATTTGTAAGAGGTGGAAGAATTTTGTGATGCTATTTACTCACGAATGAAATGAGAAGATATTGCTCGATAATGCCTAAATGCTGATTGGCTTGGATGAAACATATAAAAACGAATGGCAGAGCATAATCAGAGAGGTCACCCATGCTGTTTTCACGAAGCCTCCACAAAATTTGAAAAAAAAATTTCTTTACAGGTCTTGGAACCCTATCATAAATTAAAGACCTCTTCTTTCGCGTAGTTCTAAATAAATATAACGTCACTCATTCTACTGGTTTTCAACTCACGTAAACAGCTTTATATGATCGTTTGGTTTAATCAGCTGAGTTGATAATACAAACTGACCAGCGTCAAGAGTTTCTTACGCTGACGTTTCGATAAAACCAAATTACTTTGCTCTACTTTCCCATCGACGCAGCACCACACTTTCTTTAGAAACTTACCCCCTCCCTTTAAACAGCTTTACATCCGGCGCTTATTCTTGTTCACACATAACCGAGTGGCAAACTTTTCATAGAATGAAACATTCCAAGAAGTAAATTCAAGAAAGTAAATAATAACGTACGGGAGAAAGGCGTTACTATCTGTCATGAGAAACTACAAAAAATTGAATTCTTTGTTTGCATTAAAAAATCTCTAATTCTAAGCAACCACACACTCATTCTCATGTGGAAGATGACTGACTCGCTTGGCGACAACTCGTGAAAAATATGTCATGGTTCCAAACCGTCCACTTGGAGCAGTGTCGTAGAAATATCGACAGATGCCTGCTGCTCCACCACAACTGATTTTTTCATGAGGAAGACGAGCGCAACACATAGTGGAATCACCTTTGATGTTCATCTGAAATAACACAGAATGCCGGGAAAATGGATTTTAAGCACATAAATTTGGATGTAATAATGGTGTAGATAAGTTTAGTATTCCCACGCCAGCTCTTGCTCCGACCCTTTAACTAACACTAAATGTGATTTGGTCCCCAGGTCTTCGGCGCAGGCCGTTTTGTATAAGTCGCCAATATTCTTATTGGCTCCTTCTGACTCGTTGTGTGTTGGTTCTGCAACAATCACTCCAAAATAAGCCCGTGCTTAATATATAAACGATGATTTTCCACTTATCTATCTTGGTGTTGGGCTTTTATTTTGAAACTCGATCAGTACCAATCCAGATTCAACTAAATTTATTTTGCAGTAAAACCCCCTTTAGTTTCTCAACGAAAAACCCCACTCTCCAGGATCATAAGTGACTGTCACGAGTAATCTGTGTTTTCTACCATAAAAAATGTTCGGGTTTTAGCATGCAGAAAAGTTGCTACTCGCACTGCCTTCATGTAACTTCATCTCATCATCAGAAAAAAGACAAAAACAAAAAAAAAAACAGTCCTCAGTTTTGTAATTGTCATAAATATCTACCGAAGCTATTTTTGACGGTGAACGTAAGAATTTCCTAAACATTGCCTCAGTCTCCGCGACATTCATGTCCTTAAAAAAATGGTCTTCCTAACCCCTTTTCTTAAACACGCATAGCATTCAGGCTTATTTAATACTGTGAACGAAGAACACTTCGAAAAGAAAACGAAAAAGATTGTCCTACACCCACCTGATCTTTAAGATACAAACTGTGGCCCTCGAAAACAAGTTCGTCAACGTCAATAGTGTCTCCAAGGGTCTGTTCTGGATGATATTCAACCACAAGAGACAGAACCATCAACATTTCCACCACAAGTTGGCGATATTCCGGCTCTGGAATGCGATTCAGGGCAGCTTCCACACACAACGCAAACTTCAATTCTCCTGGAGTCATCTGGAAACAGAAAAGCATTGTGTGACTGAAACTGTTAAGAGAGGACTAATGATGGTTACTGCGTTAAGAAATACTGTGATCACAATAAGCTTGACATTGACCAGAAGCAGATTTGACATATTATCTTGCCATTTGTTTCGGCGAGGAAATTTTGGTTTGTCTGACTGATGTATAACATTATTATCAGATTTTCCTCGCAATCCAAAAGCTCTGGATACAGCATTACATTTTGCTTTGGAGGAAAGACAAACCAGAACAAAACTAATTATGTCAGAAAGGACTGGGAAGAACTCTCAGTAACTTAACGTTATCGCCATCGAGGGCAGAAATATGCGAGTGGCCATGTCGCCATTGGATAATAATTGCATCCTAACTGATAGAGTAGGGTGCATAAGCCTGTTAAGCCAGTAAAAAATCGCAGTAAAGCTTAAAATTAAAGAAATAACACTAGAAAATGGGATTCAACCGAAGGCATACCTCTAAGACCATGGTGTTCGGTAGATAATGCTTGTAAATGGTCATACCTCGACACTGGCGGAATTAAAAACAGCAAAAGAATAACAACAGATCGCTCAAATAACTGAAAAATATCGCAAATACAAAAATGTTTTAAATTTGGAGTTTCAAATTTGCAAGCTATCGTACCTTTTCGAGAACTTTCCAGAATTTGGGGTAAAAATCCTCAGGGGCTCGGTTAAGAGCTCCATCAAGGCACCTTCGCCTGATCCACTGCCCAAGGCGGTCTTGAGGGTCCTCGTCCTCGTCATCTTTATCTTTCTGTGGTCCCAAATTATCCTGATCAGGTGATGGTAGCAATCCTCTACCGCTCATATGCTTTAAATCCGAAAACAAATATAGTTGTTATAAATGTTGTTATTGTGTACGAATTTTTTTTTTAACAATTTCTCGCGCATTATTGGCATGTCCATAATGATACTTCAGTTAATCTAAGTTTTCGTTATATTTCGAACTGGTAATGACTGTACCACGTCATCGATGGAAAATCAAAGTTATCACCTTTCTAGACAAATAGGAGACTGACAACTTTCATACGTGTTCAATCGTTATTCCGTCTGTTTACACATTCGTTGGTTTCATCAACTGAGTGGCTAATATAAACTTGACGTTTCGAGAATTAGCCCTTCGTCATTCGCTCCGATGGAGGACTAACGTTCGACACGTCTGCTTTTGAGCCTTTTTTACGGTGGCTAATTGGCATTATCAACTCAATTGATAAAACCGAATCATCTCATAACCTCCCCCCTCCCTACAGACAGGGCACCACAGTTTCTTTCTTAAAATTTACCCATTTACATATTACACACAGTAAGTAACTACAAAACCATTCAAAACAATGGCGCAAGACGGCGCAAGGTAACGTGGTTCAAAAGATAACAGCCATAAAAAAGACAAACCACGTAGGATTGACAAGAGATGAACGCTATTTAACATCTCAGTTAATTCAATTTAAGTTTATTTTATCTTATTGCATTAATATCCATTTTCCCCTTGGATAGCAAACACAGAATTAGAGCATTAATGCCTTTGCATCATAGCGTTAGCTTTAATGCAATTTCACTTATGGTTGCAGTCAAGGTTTCTTAGAGAGAAAGTTACAACAGCTTGCAGAGAATTGCAATTTACGATTCAGTAGAAAAGGAGCCACGGAAATGCTTGACAGTTTCCTGACTTAAAGAATTTCTCCCGTCCATCCTGCTGTGGGAGGAAAAAGCGCTTAACTGAGGAACTCAAACTATCGAAAAAAGCTTGGTTTGGAATGCAATGAGTTTCACACATGAAAAAAGTAAATGAATAACCGTAAATAAACAAAACGTAAAAAAACAACCACAAAAAAAAAAAAAAAAAAAAAAAAAAAAAAAAAAAAAGATCAAAGCACCAAAAAGAACTAACTGGATGTTCATCAACGTCGACTCCATCATAAACTTCCTCACTTTCTTGCAATTAGTCCTCGCAGCTCACACGAGAGTTTAACTACATTTCTACTCTAAGCTGGAAATCAAATATTTCACTTACTCTCCATAAGCCTTTTTAAAATTTCTGTTAGTCATTACAGTGCAAGATGAGAGGAAGTTATTTGTTAGCAGTATTGTTGATGTTAATCAGGCTTCCTTTACAGCGAAGAACTCGTGAGTAAAGCAGAAAGCTGAGACAAAAAAATTCATTTCTGAATCGATGTCATTTCCCTTCACCCTTATAACATTAGAAGAACTGAAATCATTTGTTAACATACCATATGTTTCCCCGCAAACATTTTAATACAGCTTATTTTCTGTTGATAAATATGAAAACGTGCTGTTAAGCCGTACAGTTGTGCAGAAAGATGGTGCAACCAGGAAACTTCCAAGACGAGCTTTGATAAAAACACCCTTTGCTTATCGACAATAAACCAAAAGCCAAACAATTTTGCCTAGCGTAACCTGGATTAAGATTTTTCAGCACGAAAAAAAAAGGAACACAAAATAGAACAAACAAACAAAAAGAAATAGAAAACAAACAACCAATCCAGACAAAACAAACAAAACGAAACTTAACAAACCAAAGCAAAAAGAGAAAAATTTAAATAATACCTTATAGACGCGACTCTTTCACTTTCGCATCACTCATTATCGCACCGCCTAAGGTATAGGTTGGAGCTAGCCAACATGAACGCATTGTGCAAAGAAAATCTAATGTGCGCGCCATTTATCCTGTTTGAAAAGCAACCCCTGTTCTTGCAAAGATGAATGTGATAATTCCCACATCAATATTTACAGCAGCGAAGAGCGCCCGATTAAAACTATTCTTTCCGTGGTCCTATTTTTGAAGAAGGTATTGCCGACCGAAAGTGCATCCAATTTATTAAAGAAAACTGAACAGCAACCATACCTGGATAAGAGATAGTTTTGCCGGAGATTTTTTCCAGCGACAATAACAAGGAAAGATTTTTTTCCGGGTTTGGTGATGATCCACTGATAACAAGATATCCTAACCAGTTCTGCTAGTTTTATTAACTTGCAGAACTGGTTATCTCTCAGCTGACCGGTTATCAATTGGTAGAGACAAACATTGCAGCTAAAGGGTATACTCTTTAAAGAGCACCGAATTCCTTCCACAAATCCGTTCACGAATGAAGAAATGCAAAGTGGTTTCCGTGTTTACCTGGCCTGATGTAAACACGCGGGAAGTTGGGAGAACACGAGATAAGCGTAGGAAACCACGACGCGAGGCAGAGTGGTTTCCGGCTTATCGAGTGTTCTCCCAACCTCCCAAGTGTTTACATAAGGCTATGAAAACACGGAAACCATTTTACATTTCTTTTATAAAATAACTAATGAAAGAGGAACGAAAACCGTGTTTACATATGCTCATGTAAAATGGTTTTATGGCCAATCAGAGCGCGCGTACCATTTGACTTATTTTATAATGTAATTTTCACCACAATTGGCAGTAATGTCACAATCTCATTGGCCAATTTGCCGTTGTCGAATACAGACAACACTGACCACTGTGAGGATGAATATCTTTGTCGATAAGAGTTCTGACCGCGCTAAACCACTGTCGATTTGTCAATTAGCTAAAGGGAAGAACAGAGTAAGATATTACAAGGTCAAAATGATTAATAAATTCTCTCACTTTCTAAATGAAGACTGACCTTAATAGCACTAGAAAGTTTTCGGATCCCAACCCTCTTCGGAAGGTCGACGTTTACGATGGAGATCTGTTTCTCTGGTGTGCTCTTGTTGTCATAGGACAAATCTACAAAATAATTAAAATAATAAAAAAAGAAATAAAAAAGAAACAAGGAAAGAAACACATATAAGATTATTAGACAAAAAGGAAAGAGGTGTACACTGTATTAGTATTTTATCGCTATTCGAAATTGGTTAAGATTTGATTACAAAATCAGCAGTTATTTCAAGCTAATTAATTTTTTCTGTTTCCTCAGAAATAATTCTCTGAGCATTTTTCTGGAGTTTTCATGATTTCAGGACTAAAAATTTAATCGAGATTGTAAAATCCCACGACTACTCAGGTTTTCCATGATCCACACAAACCCTGAGGCTAAAACAAGAAATTAAACTTACCACTTGAAACGACCAACTCCTTGCCGCTAAGAATATGATACAGGAGAGTTTTCATCTCAAAAGGGCTCAAGTTCATGAAAAACTCAGCGGCATCTTCACCTGGAAGGCGCGTATGGCTGCATGTTAGAACGCGACATGTTATGTTCAGAGTGACTAGTTGTCGTTGTTTGGTTGTTGCTGTGTTTTTGTTTTTTCTTTCAGTTTTACTGTCGTAACGTCTGTCGGTTGTTACCGATCAAACGCAAAACTGTTGAAGCCTTGTAAAACAATTGTAGATTAGCCTGCGAGGAGTTGTGAAAATGTAAGGCACAAACTTTCACAAAACGGGCAGTTACGCAGGTTGAAAAAAAAAATTGGAAAAGCTGTGCTTCGAGTGAACTGACGAAAAAAAAAAAACCAGGAAAGTACATTGTTGGCGTTAAATCAAGTTCTCGATAACGCGTGGCAAAGGTTAGACACACAAATAGACTCAATTTCGCACGAGGTGTCATTTATCGTAAACGGAAGTTCGCCCGAACATCAAGAAGTTCAGCTGCACTGGGGGAGAACCGTCCGTAGTTCGAAAAACTGAAGATATAAATACACAAACAGACAAAAACTCTTTTAGTTTCTGACCGGAACAATCCATGGATCTCGCCAACTCAGCCACCATAACTTCTATTATCAGGCCGACTCGAAGCCTCAGCATCTCTTTGAATAGAGACGGTTCAGTCCTTACAAAGATCCCAAGATAAACTAACAGTTCCTGGTGATAAAGAAGAATATTACTGGTTCGACCAAAACTGAACAAGGACGATTTTACATGGGATGAAGAACAAAACAAAGCTGAAGTGACAACCCAAACGGAATAAAAAATTGTCGAGGGGGAGAAAATACTGAACCGACGGTTTACAAACGGTAAAGATTAAAAAATCCTACTCTCTATGCTATTATTATCGTAATCATAACCATTACAATTCTCTCAATTGTATTGGTACATCAGCTGCTTTGTATTTCACAAATCACCCTGTACAGTTGTAATCAGACAGTTGGCTGTAATCGGAAACCTGTAATCGGACAGTTGAAGCAGCCAATCATACTAAGTTCACTCAGCTAAATCCACCAATCACAGAATCGATCACAATAACCATAGCAACAACCTGAAAAGTAAACTGAGAAATTTCCAAATTTTTTGCTTTAGACATTGTCTCTACTGGAGATGTTTCTCCTCAATGTTTTTTTTTTTCAAAAATTGTAATGGTTATGATTAATTTACCTGAGTGACAACACCAGTGCGGTCGTCTGATTTTGTAAATCACTCATATCTTCACTATTAGTATTATTCATTAACTATCACGTTGAAAATTATATTTTTCATGTTACCTACACATTTTGCGGAAGTGGTTGAAAATTATATTTTTCTGCCACGCCAAAAAAAAATTGAATAATTATATCAGTGTAGTAAAAACCTTATCAATATAGTGACAGAGAAGACACCACCGAAGAAAGGTTCTTTCTTTACAAGTCAATTCACAAAAGCACATTTTGAAGTCGAGTTTGTTTTTATTCTTGTTTTGTTCTTTTTTGCATCAAACGGTTTGAAAACTAATGAAACAAACGCACTACGACAACATCGTCGAGATTCACCTTGTTATGACCTCTTCGTGTCCACCCTGAGGGATCCCCACAGTCAGCTGCTTCTGGTGCACTAAAAGATCTGTAGCAGCCTGGTGAAGAGAAGAGGAAAACATCATAACAACTTTATACTTTACAACAAAAGGGCTGAAATCGATATATAGGCGATTAACTCAGACCAATGAAGTACGGCCATGCATTAAAAGAGTGAAAAGATCGAAGAGGCGGATGCAACAAGATTGGGAGAGGTCTTGGAATGATAGGCATATGAATGATAACCCCTTCTCGAATCCAAAGTTGGGTCACAATGTCTTATGTCACAGTATAGCTTGGCTGTTTGAATATTTTTAGAATAAACAGCAACAACAAAAAAAGATGAACGGCAAACAATAACAACAGCAACAACGAACACAAAATTTGAGCTTGTCGTGAAAACGGAGGTTATTAAAGATAAACAATATACCTCGGCTAGATCCTCCACTCGTTTTCTCAACAGCCCAGCGGTGTGACGCACTAAGGACCATAGCTTACTTTGACAAGCCTTGAAATCAAACGCAACAAAATGACAGTTAAAACTTTCAACTTGTAACGTGGATAAAAAAGCATAACAGGAAAACGTTGGGTAAATGTGTAAGACTGTTTCTTGAGGATACAGTATCAGTTTTCTTTGACTTAATCTTTGACGCAAGTCCGTGTTTGAAACATTTAACGGCTAACTCCGTAACTTAAATAGTACTTCTAAGATGAATTAGTTTACCTTTTCGTAAAGCTCTCCGAGGAGTTTTTGGACTGTAACTCCTGGTTCACCAAAAAGTTGAGTATCAAAGTCTGGACCCCTAGTGAAACAAAGTAAATAGAGCCACACTGTTCTGTGAATTATTTCCACGGTTCACAGAGAAGCAATAATAATCCTAAGGCGAACGCACGTTTAACATCTTGTGAAAAAAAAAAAGCCAAACAACAAATAAAACTCACAAACATGCGAAAAAACATAAACAAACAGCAGGAATACTATCAAGGAACAAAGTAGTTCGAACCAGTTCTTCGACGCATACTATCACAAAAGACTTCTAACACCTACAAAACGTATTTACTTTGAAGTTAACGATAAAATTAATCTCCCTCCAAAACAGAAGATAAAAGTTCAAAAAACTTAACACTTCTCTGGTTGGAAAACCTATACCAGCCCTAGTTACGTATCTCATATTCCAATATCATTCATAATATTACATGTACTCTACTGTATATACCTAGTTTGTAAAAGTAGTAAGTTGAGTTAGGATTAGAGGAAATGTTATTGGGGTTGGTTGGCGGCAGACCTCGTAGGGGGACCCCAAGTCCTATTGTTTATTCGCCTAGTAGCTTGTACCTTGTACTGCTCCTAATACTAAAAGAAACAAATGAATAAAGCGAGCAGCCCTTGATTTGTTATATTGGTATTTTGTGTTGGATGAAAAGTTCTTGTTGTGTTGGTTGGAGAAATTCTATTCTCTAAGATTGGGTACTTCGAGAAAATTTAACATACACAGGACTCTGTACCTTGTATTATACAAGACCTGGCTGGTGTCCAACCATTAGCTGCGCGATCTTCAAATGCTTCACATCCGGGAACTTGATTTGAGAAA